TTTAAATAGTAATGAGTCTGTAGATTTTGTGAAAATACTGTTAGTTAATCTCAGGACTCCTCAAACCTCAAAATGGTTAAACACCAACCATGGCTTAACTGGGTTGTTGTAAATAAAGCCTGAAATTAAACTCCTATGTGTTTGCTGCAGATTTCCAGGTGTCTTTCAAGTGGGGGATAAGCTCAGAAAAGGTTTAATGGGTTTATTAAGTAGTCATCCATTTGAAGGTCCATGCACTACTGTGTTTCACATCGGGACAAGTGTCTCCTACCTTACGCATTTCTCACTGAGCACTGCCTAGAAGAGGGTGAATCCTACCTAGTATTTAGATCCCTTTCAGATGTTCAGGCAGAAGAATTTTGTTAGGACAAAAGTAAGGTCACAGCTACATAAAGGAGGATTATGAATCATAAGACATCAGGCTGTTTTCTCTGATGTCTAAAAAGAATATTCCTCAAATGACGAATGGAATGTCTTGCCAGGGGCTTGTGGCTGAGTTTTGTGGGAGGTCCCCACCAGCAAAAAAGTTGTTGAAGATGAATATTTGATTCACAATAGCTGCTGATTAAAAAGAAAGCCTCTGTATTTAGCCACAGCCATAGCATTCCTATACAGCTTGCCAGTGTGATAAAAGTGGCACAGACTATGGCTTCTTAGTCAAATCCAGCCTCAGTGAAGTTGTTCATATCTTAGAGATGAACTGAATGCTATATAGTTTTTGAAATATGTTTATTTGGGGAGTGAGAAAAGGGATTGTGAAGGTAAAGATTAGGAATCCGTCTGTTGTAATAGGATTATTTGCCCTGTGTATCAATGAAATGAATTGGCTACCCCCTCTTCCCCCCATATTTTCTCTGTCCTTGCTGGGGAGGGAGGCTGAAGTTTCCTAGAGCTATTGGGGAAGTTGGAGTCTGTAGGAGGAACTGGATTTTACACCATCTTGATGGTAATGCATGGTGTTAAAGGAAGTTTGGAGAAAACCAGGATGATGTAAGGACAACAGCTACATTGTTTTGCCTTAAAACAGGAATATGCAAATTAAAGCAATGACTTCTGCTTTTTCTTGTTTCTATAATCCTTTATCATTGGACAGTGTTTTCCCAAAGTAACACGTGACCATTTTCTTTAGGAGGCCATTTCCTTTTCAGTTACCATGTAGATTTGTTAGAAGTAATAAAACCATCTGTTTTATTTTAATAGGCCTCACTATACCTTTACTACATCTAGGGTACTTCATTTTCTTTCTCTAAAAAATATCGAATCACCAGACATTTAACTAAATGATTATCAAGTAAGAATATTTTGTTTTCTTGTTTGAACAATTCCTAAGGTAACTGTTAGTTTAGACTTGATTATTGGATTATTGAAGTGCTTCAGTGGATTTCTGCCATAGACTTGATTATTGGTTTATTGAAGTGCTTCAGTGGACTTATGCCATACCCCACTCATTGCCTGCCTTCCTCACCAACAGAATCATTGACAAGGAAGACTTTTGTTAATTATAACTCCTGTTTAAAAGGAAAGCTTCAGTTTTTAGCTAAATATTTGGTAAGAAAAATCTTTTTTTTTTTTTTTGAGACAAAGCCTCAAGCTATTCCCCTGGGTAGAGTGCTCTAGCATCACAGCTCACAGCAACCTCCAACTCCTGGGCTCAAGCGAGTCTCCTGCCTCTGCCTCCGAAGTAGCTGGGACCACAGGCACCCGCCACAACGCCCGGCTACTTTTTGGTTGCAGCCATCATTGTTGTTTTGGTGGGCCCAGGCTGGATTTGAACCTGCCACCTTAGGTGTATGTGGCTGGCGCCTTAGCCACTTGAGCCACAGGCGCCGAGCCGAGTCACTCATTAATACTTGATCTATACTCACCAGAATTGGAATGGATAGAATCAGGCATGCGATAATCCACAGACAAACATCTATGCCACATAAGTGTGGTTTTGTCAATGAGAAGACCACATGTAAGACAGTGGTCCCTGTCCCTGGGGTGGCGCCTGTGACTCAAAGGAGTAGGGCTCTGGTCCCCTATACTGGAGGTAACAGGTTCAAACCCAGCCCTGGCCAAAAAGAAAAAAGAAGGTGGTCCTTTAAGATCATAATAATGTATTTCTTTTGTACCTTTCCTGTGTTTAGATATGTAAATATTTGCCATTGTGTTACGACTGCTTACATTGTTCAGTATGGTAACATGCTGTGCAGGTTTGTAGTCCAGAGCAGGAAGCTATAGCCTAGGTGTGTAATAGGCTGTACCACCTAAAATTGAGTAAGGACACCATGCATGATGTTTTCACAAGGCTGCCTGACAGCACATTTCTCGAATATATCCTGTCATTAAGTGATATGTGACTGTACTGAAGTTATGGTTTTACCTATTTAACTTTATTTCTAGGACAACTTTAAAAGGATGTTGTTCTGTGGCAATGACTTTTTGTGCCTTTTATGGGCATGAAGGTAAATTGTTAATAGTTATCTCATATTGGTGCTTTATATGATACTTTTGTGACATTTTGTGGTTGGACCCTTAGGCACAAAAACATATATACCCAGGTATCCTCTGGCCCTGTCCATTGGGGTTTAGTTTCTATATTCATTGCCTTTTCTTTTTTATTTTATTTATTTATTTGCATTTTCTGGCTGAGGGGTGGGTTGGAACCTGCCACTGCTGGCATATGGGGCTGGTGCCCTACTCCTTTGAGTCAAAAGTGTGGCCCTATTTTTTTTTTTTTTTTGAGACAGAAGTGATTCTCTTGCCTCCACCTCACAAGTAGTTGGGACTACAGGCACCCACCACAACGCCTGGCTATTTTTTTGTTGCAGTTGTCATTGTTGTTTTTTTAGCAGGCTTGGGCGGGGTTCAAACCCGCCAGCCTTGGCGAATGTGGCTGACGCCCCACTCACTGAGCTACAGGTGCCGCTTCATTGCCTTGCATTGTCTCTTTTTAGCCCACATGTTCTGGTGAAGTTGGTGTTGTGTTTGACTATTCCAAATTACTTCTAAGGTACGGATTTATTTCCAGCTACATTTTTGCATCTGGTCCTAGAGCTGTTTCTTCTTTCCTTCTTTGGAAAGGAGACATGTTGAAACTGTCTCATAGGCTAGAATACAGTGGTCTGATCATAGCTAGTGATGTATGTTTTATATACTTGCCATGATAGTGCCAAGAATGGAAGTAGATCCAGGTCTTCCCTAGAATCCTCCTGTCTGGCTTGGTCATATAACATCAAGTTGCTTGTGGGGGGACATGGACTCCTGGGCTCAAGTGATGCTCCTGCCTCAACCTTCCCAAGTCCTAGGATTACAGGTGTGAACCAGCATGGCTGGCTTATGTTGAGATTTTTTTTTTGAGCAGGGGAACTACAATTTATTTCATTCTACATCTCTTGGATATTTGCCTCCCACTATTACTGACCTTAGGCAAGAAATGTCATAGGAGATATCCTCTGTAACAACTGAGGGACAGCAGTGGTCAGGCTATATTCTTAATTTATCTTAGTGATTTATGGCATTATTTTTAAATTCTAACTTTGGATTTTTATGAATTTTACATCCTCCTCTAAGCAGTTTCAAATCATGACCAGACTTGACTGCTTAGAACTTCCCATTTATCATAGAAGAAATCCCCTCCCGATTTCCCACAAGGCAAAGTAGTGGGGGTCGATGCAGAGTGAGTTACTTGTGTGCTTAGCATAAAACAGTGGTCATAGTAAATACTCAAAACTTCCCCATGGGGAAGCACATTATTTATTTAAATCTTTTTTTTTTTTTTGAGACAAGAGTCTCGCTTAATTGCCCTTGGTAGAGTGCTGTGGAGTCACAGTTCACAGCAACCTCCAACTCCTAGGCTTAGGCGATTCTCCTGCCTCAGTCTCCTGATGAGACTACATGGCGTCCACCACAACGCCTGGCTATTTTTTGTTGCAGTTTGGCCGGGGCCGAGATCAAACCCGCCACCATCGGTATATGGGGCCAGTGCCCTACTCACTGAGCCACAAGAGCTGCCCTATTTATTTAAATCTTTTTTTTTTGAAACAGAGCCTCAAGCTATCCCCCTGGGTAGAGTGCCGTGGCATCACAGCTCACAGCAACCTCCAACTCCTGGGCTCAAGCAAGTCTCCTGCCTCAGTCTTCCAAGTAGCTGGGACCACAGGCGCCCGCCACAATGCCTGGCTATTTTTTGCTTGCATCTGTCATTGTTGTTTTTGGCAGGCCCGGGCTGGATTCCAACCCGCCACCTTAGGTGTATGTAGCTGGCGCCTTAACCACTTGAGCCACAGGTGCCGAGCCATATTTATTTAAATCTTAAGGTGCATCCTTGGTTGTGTGTGATCTCATCATTTTATAGGGTTGTGGAGAGAGTTCGTGATATTTTTTGCTTAAAAACTTGATTTTTTGGGGGGGGCGGCGGCACCTGTGGCCCAGTGGGTAGGGCACTAACCCCATGTACTGAGGGTGGTGGGTTCAAATCCAGCCCCGGCCAAACTGCAACAAAAAATAGCCAAGTATTGTGGTGGGTCCCAGCTACTCAGGAGGCTGAGGCAGGAGGATCACCTAAGCCCAGGAGTTGGAGGTTGCTGTGAGCTAGGGCAATACAGTGAGACTGTTTCTACAAAAAAACAGAAAACAAAAACTTAATTTTTAAAAACTTTCTATTTTCAGAATGAGGTTTTTTTTGGCTGGAGCTGGGTTTGAACCCGCCACCTCCGGCATATGGGGCTGGCGTCCTACCCTTTTGAGCCACAGGCGTGGCCCCAGATGAGTATTTGTTAGGAGAGTTGGAAGTAGTAGAATACTCCTTAAATAACTTAGCTATTCTGTATGTTTTATACACTTGCCATGATAGTGCCAAGAATGGAAGTAGATCCAGGTCTTCCCCGGTGTCCCCCTGTCTGGCTTGGTCATATAACACCAAGTTGGTTGTTGGGGGCATGGTACAGACAGAACTCTTTTAATGGTTTCCTGTTTGGGCCCTCAACAAAGCTGTGTCAATTCTCTTGCCCTTACAGACTTGCCCAGAAGAAAAGATGTTTGGTTTTCACAAGCCAAAGATGTACCGAAGTATAGAGGGCTGCTGTATTTGCAGAGCTAAGTCTTCCAGTTCTCGATTCACTGACAGCAAACGCTACGAAAAGGACTTCCAGAGCTGTTTTGGGTAAGATCATTTGATTTGTACCATCCTTAGAGTGAAAAAAGATCACAGCATATGGAAATATTTCCAAGTGGGGCAACTGGAATGGTGTGTAAAATCACTTATATTCTAATTTAGGCTATTTAAGGCTCTCCTACTGTTAAGATGAATCAAACAAAACTGACAGCCTGCTTCTTTCTAGGTGATGAGGAACTATCACATTAATTGTGGAGCCCTGTATATTTATAACTAGGTAGATCCTTTTTTTTTGTTAACTTCAGAATATATTTTATAAGGTAGTTCTAAAAAATTACCTTTATTCTGTCATACATCAGTGTTCCACTGTATTTTTCTGCCTTTGTTATTTTCCTAAATAATAGGAATGTATTTAACCTAATCTGCAGAGGATGGTAATATAAACAAACATTCTAACCTTCATTCAACCAGTTAGGGTATGTGAGCTTTCATTTATGATTTCTTTTTTTGAGGCACAGTCTTTGTCACCCTCGGTAGGGTGTTGTGGCGTCATAGCTTACAGTAGCCTCAAACTCTTGGGTTGAGTGATCCTCTTGCTCCAGCTTCCCAAGTAGCTGGGACTACAGGTGCCCAACACAATGCCCGGCTATTTTTTCCCCCATCATGCCTTTTTAAAAAATTACATTTTCCTCCCCTTTGCTGCCCAGGCTGAAATATAATGGTCCATATAATATATATAATAATATATATTATAAATAAATATAAATATTTATATCCATATAAATATAATGGATCTATCATAGCTCATTGCATCCTTCTTAACTACAGGTGCTTGCAGCACACTCAGCTAATTTTTAAATTTGTTTTTGTAGAAATTGAGTCCTTTTTTTTTTTTTTAAAGAATACTTTATTTTTTATTTTTTTGCAGTTTTTGGCTGGGGCTGGGTTTGAACCCACCACCTCTGCCATATGGGG